AAGCTGTAACTTTTGGGAGTGCCCTCGCCGCCTGGATAGGCGGCGAGGGCGTGTGCGACCGCGTTCCTTTGCCACCCGACAGAGCAAGAAAGAGATGGTGGACTTTGTGCAAGGGTTGCGTACTCACATTGCCGATATGGCAGCCAATCCACTCCCAGAGGCGTCACACTGACCGTCTTTATGAAGGGCATCCGAATTGGCGTGGCCAGAATGGAAGTTTTCGCTTGTACCCATCCTCTTTTAGAGAAGCGGTGGATGAAGCATTGAATGCCGCAAATAACTTGTAAGCGGCACGACTTGGCTGTAATGCACACCCTCAGAGCTCGTCGAGCGGGCCCGAGCCAATGGAACTCAGCAATGCTGAGAAAAAGGCGGGAGAACTCCGATCTGCCGAGCAGTGTTTAAACACCCGATGGTATTTTATTTGTGGAGACACCCGTCACCTTCAGAGTGGTTGTCCCCCGCGAAAGGCGCGTTAAGGTTTGACGAACCCACGTTCCGCCTCTTGCCAGTCTTCTGCTTTGTCGTGGGGAAACGAGAAAACACAGTAGGAGTGGGGCGTACTACTAGGGAAGAACTGAGTTCTGTTGTGTCTCATAGAGCTAGTGGGCAACTGGGCCCAGACCCGAAGTGCTCGCTGGGTTTGATCCTGTCGACGACGTCGACCCACACGTGCTCTTGAATGTATGCAAGCCGGGCTTCCTGGTCGTAAAAGTGACCGTGAAGGGTTTGAGAAGCCACAGAAGATCCTGATCGATTTCGGGGTGTCAGGCAACTATGCTCGATGTTTCATGATTGAAGGGAGTTGTCTGCTTGCTGAGGCGCTGAAAGCGCGGCTGAGTGACACCGTCATTTTTCACTTAGCGACGGGGACTTGTGTCACTGTACTGAGGGTTCCTGTGGACCTCGGTGTCAAGTTTCTTGAGTTTGATAGCATGAAACGCTGTTTAGTCTGAGACCTAGATGCAAGGTATAACCTAAACCTTGGTATGGCATGGTTAAAACACCATGAGCCACGAATTGATTGGAGGTCAAAGACCTTGGGCGAAACGCGCACGTCTCATGGTGGAGCTTTGGCGAGTTATAAGCCCACCTCTGCTAGGAAGTAGAGCGCTATTGGTGCTGGCACTGGACTGTACCGGTCAGTGTACATAATAATGGAATATCCGGATCTTCAAACACCGAAGGTGTATTGGACAAAAGTCTCGAGCATGGATCGCGGGCTGAACGGGAATAAAGACGTTAGCCACTGAGCACTACTCAAGTAGACACATCAGTTGTTACATGCCAAGAGTGGCATGGTCAACCAAGGGCCGAGGCATTGAGGGCGAGGTCACAGTGGTGCACGTGGAGTGGCACGTTATCCACTAGACGAAAACTACGGAAATAGTAGCTCTTCGTCGGATGTTGCTAATAATATCAAGGCATTGATGGAGCAGGAAGTGGGGACACTGGACGACGCCAAGTGTGTGTTCATACCGGTCTCGATGAGAAAAAAACCTCTATAGAGAGGCGAAGCCGTATGATATTTGCAAGACGCAGGGCGTCGACGCTGACCCAGGGTGTGTCTACCGTAGACGATAGTGCACCGCAATAAACCCTTGTCAACGGTATGACGAAGAGAGAAAGACATTGATATCACCCTCGTCGCTATTCCGGCTGAGAATGCTCTTCTTGAGCTGGACGAGATGTTCTTCGAAGCGTTTGGCGGTGCCTTGAAGGCAGGCAATTGAGCCGAGGTGGTAATTAAAAGACCAAACGAGGAGATTAACATGTCGTCGCTTCTGGACAAAACCTGTTCTGGAGGGCACTAAGAGGGTGCTGAACGCACGAGGTGGGTCTTCGATCTTAGAGGATCCTTCGGATCCGTACTATCCTTTGGTGAAGGAGTTTCAAGACGTCTTCTCAAAAGCAACGCCGTCGGTCATACTTTCGGACCGAGGTGTGTGTCATGTGGTCGACCTAATTCCCGGAGCCAGATACTGCGTTACACCCCTATGGCCCCTTCCCTAGACGTCATTGACGCCTTTTTCCCTGCGAAGCACGAAGCAGGAATGGTGCGTTAGAGCAAGTCTCTCCATTTTGTGTCCGGAAACCGAATGGCAAGTGGCGTGTCGTTTACGCTTACAACAAGCTAAACGCTGCCACCCTTCCGGCACAGACGCCCATCCTAGGAAGGATGTTCTCCAGAGCAAAACGGCTGGCTGTGCAAATTACAGCGCACTTGACTTGGTCAAAGAGTATTACCAATTGCTCAGGACAGCGAGTGATATTCCGTGGACAGCGGTGAGTACTCCAATCGAGATGCTCTGGGGTTGCTGGTGATGCTCCTGGGGCTGTCAAATGCATCAGCTACATTTGATTGTCTTGTGACGCAGTTGTCCGGGCCTTACCGGGCGTATACACAAAGTTACTACAATGCCATCTTCGTCCACAGTCGTGCGAGGCACAGGAGAAAACATGAATATAACTACAGCGTTCATTTGAGAGCGGTGCTCGAGTGCATACGCACGAATAAGCAGTATGCTAATGCAGACAAGTGCATCTTTGACGCTTGAGAAATTCCCTTTTGAGGTACTTCATTGGGGAGTGTGGCCTTCGAGCAGACCCCGCTAAGGTCAAGACCACTGTTGACAGTCCGGTTCCAAAGCACCAAAGGGACATGCGCAAGTGGCTTGGCCACGCCAACTACTTGCACAAGTATAGCGCAAATTATGCGGATATGGCACGGCCACTAACGAATCTCCCTTAGAAAAATGTGCAATAGTGTTGGGACACTGAGTATCGGAAGGCTCTTGACGGGGTCAATGACAGCCTTCATCATGCACCAATACCGGTGTTGCCAGACACTGATCTTTCTTTCAGTGTCATCTGTGACGCTTTGGAGGACGAGATCGGATGATCGCGTTCGAATCTCGTCAGCCCAAGGTTACAGAGAAGAACTATTCCAGTCACGACAAGGGATTACTTGCGATAAGGAATGAACCTGTAACGTTTAGTGTTCGTCTGCTCGGCTCCAAGCCGTTCGTGATCTACACAGATCATGCGTCACTACGCACTGCGACTCAGTCGCCTCATCTCTGGCAGAGAATGATCACGTGGCTCTCCTTCTTGGCGAATTATAAGTGCGATGTAAAGTATAAGCCAGAAATCAGAATGCTTTGGCTGATGCATTGTCACTCACGAATTGTGGTCTCTTACGATGATGATTTGAAGAACCGCATCCTCTTTGAGGTCCACGACACCCCACTCAGTGGTCCTCTTGGTCGTGACAAGACTTACAGCTCTGTGATCTGCCACTACCGGTGGTTCAAGCTGTAAAAATGAACGAGCACCTATGTGCGCACGTGTGAGACGTGTGAAAGGGTGAAATCTCTCCGAACGCGGCTGTACCACAGGCCAGTTTTTCGGAACCCTCCGGGAGCTGGCAGTCTATGAGTATGGACTTTGTATTGGCCTGCCGGAGGACTTGATGGGCAACACGGGTGTGGTGATCTTTGCGAACCATTTGAGCAAGTTGGCTCATCTCGCGGTTGTACCGAATACCATCGACGGTGTGGGTACAGCGACGCTGTTTGTTGGTCGTGTCTTTCGATAGCATAGACTGTCAGAGTCAATTGTCTCTGATAGAAACCAACGCTTCACTAGGAAGTTCCGGTCTGCGCTCTTCAGGGTGCAAGGCACTAAGCTGACTTTGTCAATAGCGGACCATTCGCAGAATGATGGCCAAAGTGAGCGCATGAATCGCGTCATCGAGGACGTCCTTAGTTGCGTCTGCGCTGAGATGCCGTTCAGCGTGAACGGGCATGTTAATCGTCGCGTTCGATGACACCGCCATCTCATAGCTCAGGACTTGGTGGGTGAAGAATGGCAGAGCGGTTAGCTGATGTCAATCATCTCACTGTTCGTAAGGAAGTTGATGACTTCCTGTCTACATGACTGAGTGTCTTACGACACGTTTGCGATGCGATGGCTGAAAGCCAAGACCTGCATAAAGAATATGCAGATGGAAGCAGAAGAAGAAATTTTGTGAACTTTCAGGTCGGAGACCTGGTTTTATTGATGATAAAACCTCCCTACCCATGCAATTATTTCTGTCTGTAAGATCAATCTCCGTCCACAATTTATCGGACCTTTTAAGATTGTGGCCAAGCGAGGCCTTGCGTATACACTGAATCTTTCGAAATGGAGCCGCACCCAGATGGTGTTTCATGTGGGCTTGATCAAGCCGTACTGGGATCCGGCGCAAGTGAACGCGGAAGCGTTGGCATCGAAGCGGCGCCCACGGGCACTTGACCGCCCAGAAGCTGAACCAGCAACTGGTTCTGGGCACAGAGTGCAACGATCTCCATCTCCGACGGCGAAAGGCGCCCCACCTTCGTATTAAGCGACACATTAGTCTGCTCACCGGCTAGAAGCCGCTCCGACAAAGCGCGATAGTCCTCATCGTGAGGCAGCCGGCGCACAACGTGCGCCAACTCTCTAGATCTTCCGCGCAGAGGTATTCGACCTCAGCTTGATGCTCAGCGGATTCTTGGTTGCGACGAATCTCGTCCTCAAGAGCCGAAAGAGCATCGCGAGTCACTGGACGGCGATCGACCCAACGTCATCATCCGCCGCCGACTCTTCTCGACAGGAATGGTGGTGCCCACTACCACGTGGAACGACTTGTGGTCGCCAGTCAAACATAGTATCTTGTGAAGTAAAGGGGATACCCCGACTATGAGAACTCGAGGAATTTTGAGGTGCTACTTCGGCAAGACTGCTCAGACATCGTCGACGCTTATGATGAAAGGGATCATGACGTTCCGCGTCGTCGCATGCTCCGCGCTCCTCGGCAATAGCCAGGGGAGCCGAAGGGCCATGAGCTGCTACAGTCGCAAACTTACCCGTGTGAGAGACCACAGAGATCGCGCGGGCCGTCGCAGGGCGACAATACGAAGGAAGTCAACGATACGCCTTGTGTTTGCAGACTCAAACCGACGATGGCGTTCCACGCGCGCGTCCGCCTCCTTGCGTCTCAAATATAACCTGTACAGCGAGGAAAGTTTCCAGCGCCGCTGCATCCATCGCTCAAAGAGCTCTTCATCGTCTGCAGAGGTTTCGCCAGGGGCGAGCACCACAAGATTCGTCCGCATCGCGGGTACAGGAGCGCCTCCGTTTTGAGCACGAAGTAGAGTGTGGTACGGATTTACCGGGATCTCCTTAGGAATCAAGAAGCGAGCTCAGAGAGCTTTTCGTTGGTCAAGCTCAGCTTGTGTAGTGGCCGGATACCAATCACATAGACGTCCAACGATAAATGAATCGCGTCCTTTGCTTTTGTAGCGGGACCCGCCGAGCAGAAGCCGTATTTCACACGAGGGTCAAAAACCGACCGCGGACACACACACATGAGAGCTGCCCTCGGACAGCATCCAGTTGCTGCCTCTGTACCTCGAGAAGGTCATTGGTAATGAAACCACTTCCCCGAAAGCCGAGACTTCGAGGATCGGACACGGCATCCGCAAGATTCGAGCAGGGCTCACGTCGCGCCGCTGGGGCACCTAGCCCTCTTCTTCTTCCCATCCTGGGAAAGGAGTATCCGAC